AGCAGGAAACATAAATCACCAACTAGCAAAAGTCTGAACAAGTTCCAGAATAATTTCTCCAGCACAAACCCCAGAAAACCTTCATTTTTAAAGCCGTTCTAATTTTATCTTGAGGTTAACCATTTGGATGTGACACTTTTCTGGCAATCTTTCCAAAGCCAAACCACAAAAGTTTCCCTGCAAAAGTTATTAAAACACCCATGCATATTGTTGATCCTAACCTGAAATGGATAATTCAGCATCTTCTAGTGCTTGTCATCTTTTCAATAAATCGATATTAGGATGTGCACTTAAAAATTAATTATTTTTCTTCTCAAAGAAAAAAACTCAGCTTTCTTTATGGACAGTGAAGAAAGTCCTTGAGGCACCCAGGAGCATACAAACAAATGCATCTCACTTTGCCTGCATAATTCAATAGTTATTCTTGATGTATGCCAAAAAGTAGGCTTTGATCATATAAGCTGTCTGTAGATTGGACTCACATCAATCATTGTCTATCAGAAAGGCCATTACATTCCACGGGACTTTTGATATGTGACAACTAGGCCTGAGAGGAGCTTTCCCATGCAATATATTGGAATTCAACAATAGCTTGAAACTGGAGTTTCTGTAGGGACACAGAGACTTTTTTTTGAGAAAGTTTTTTGAGAAGTTTTGAGAAAAAAAATGGAACTGCTGATCAAAGAGACAGCAGTATCAGTGACAAATAAACAAAACCAATTGTCATGGGCACTTAACCTCTGTGGTTGAGTCTTTGATCTGAATGAAAAACGGTAGAGATTTGAAGCCAGTCCCTTCTAACCCAGCTAATTTTCCAAGCTGCAAGTTAAGTTGAACAGGAAATAGTTACTAGAGTTACTGTCTTGCTTTTTACATTTCGTTTTTGTTTCATGAAAAATGTTGAATATCTGGTCCTAGGACAGAACAGGTAACTAGGCGAACTCTCAACTCTTTAGCAGGCTGGGAAAAACATTGTAATAAAGCTAGAAGCTGTAAGACAGATCTTTTGGCACTGAAAGGCAGAACTAGTAAGGAGGAAAAAAAAAGCCTTTCCCAGCTTAAAGAACAGTTCTGTTGTCTGCAGGCTTGTAAAGTTAGCTCGGGACATAGTTATTTCTTCTAAAATATTTCAGAAGGTGGCACAGGTCTGCATGGATGATATAAACCGAACTGAACCTTTTCACTAGGAATTTTGCAATGACAGATTTCCGAAAAAGAATGTTGTTTTCAAGCCACAAACAGAACAAAATGCTCTGTCATAACTGAGTCATTCACATGGTTGTTACTCCAAGTAAGCAAAAACAAAAAGGTTTTGTTTGTTCTGCTTTGAAACAACTGCAGGTCATAGCTCTGGCCTGGATGAGAACAAGAGAAAAGAGAGTATTTCTGACTTTGGCGGCGCTTGTACTTCACCTTGCAGCTGAGCATCTGCCTAAAGGATGACAGTCTGATAAAGGCTACTATATAAACTGCTAGCACTACTCACATCAGAAATGCTGTAAAACTCATGTAGTTAGCAGGCATTAGTTAACTGACATTTACTAATTAATACACAGAATAAAGAAATGGTGTGCATTGCCATGGTACCTTTCTTTTAAAAAGTCAGAACAGTTTTGCCTCAAAAGGTGCTGTTGTGGTTTAGCCCCAGCCAGCAACTAAGCACCAC